ATGAAATACATCAGGCACACAAGAGTGCATAAAACACATAAGAAGAGTTTTGAGTGCTCACTGACTGCCCACACATACAGATGACCTTGAATATTTGGTGAGTATACCAACCAAAATCCCATAGGAAACCAAATTTGTTCCAGATGGTTCAGATGAAGAGATGTGAATGAAGGCACGACTGGGAGAGGTCTGGATTAAGGCAACATCCCAAGACTAGCACCAGCAGGACCTCCTATAGGACTGAGAGACAGAGGAAATACAGTCCAGAGGCCCTGCGGAGATATGGAGAAGCCGCTCAGCAGGTGGGAGGGACTCTATGGACAAGCATCACCCAGGCAGGAAACAAATAGGAAAAAACGCCCAGCTATTCTCTCATCCTACCCTCTGACTTCCAGACAGTCTCCCAGCAGCTGCATCCCAGTGAAAGCCAGTCTGGAAGAGACCCTGGGTGATGCAGACCGAGGATTAGCCTCTCAGCCACAGGGGAGGGCAGTCAAGGGTGGAAAATGGAGATGGGGGGAGGCGGTGGGAACAACCAGCAGAGACCACCATGAGCATGTGATAGGAACCATCTGAGACTTTCTCATAGGAAAAGCGGCAAAAGCAAGCTCACGAAGGAAGACTGCCAAGCCCTAATCATCAGCATGTAACGAGTCATTTTCACCACCTTAGCCAAGGTGGCAAGTGTAATGAACATTAAATATAATTCACCATACAATTTTTAACTGGTGGAGTTTCATTACACCAAAATTACACTTTGGAAAGTAAAGATGCAAGGAAAATATCTCTATGTATTAGTCTGCGCCTCGGTTTCTCATCAAAAGAAAGAGAATAATATCTACCTTATGAGTAGTTCTGAGGATTTAATTAGACGGTGTATGTAAAGTTTGGCCTAGCACAAACTTGGAACCAGTAGGAATTAAATATAGTTTGTTTCTATTATCATTATGTGCCATTTTACTCATCTTACCCTATTTAGCCCTGCAACAAACAGCACCTGTTTCTGCGTAATTTCCCATTATGTGGGCCAGTATCAACAAGTCCTAGAATATTCTGATCGGACCTAGATTCTTCAGCCCATGTATCTGCATAGAGATCCACCCAAACCATGAAAACACAACCATGTTCACAGACATAAAACATTTCCACAGTCACTACTGTATGAATTCTTAGAGAAATCCAGGAATTAGTATCTGTTTTAATTTAGAGAAACTGAGGCTGAAAGACACATGACCCAGACTTTGCGACTCCAATATATGTCACAACCATCTGCCTCTTAACTCCCACATTATGGCGGTCTATCTACCGTTAAGGATTAAGTTCTATGTTAGGACACGGACACCTTTGTAAACGATGGTGCTCCATGACTTAGATGGGTCCCTTTCTCATTGCCAGGAAGAAAAATAAAAAGGTAGGACAAAGATCAGACTTGGAATATTTTATTAAAAATCAGTTTTAAAATACAGGCCACTTGACTGGTAGGGCTGGGGCCTACAAGGTTATATGAGATCACGTGTGGCAAAGATATATAGTCAGGCTGCTCTCGACATGGCGGTTTTGAGCACAGCTTTGAAGTTCAGCAAACACACTCGAGACTCCTGGTGCTGCCAGTCACCTGCTGAGGGGCCTTCGACTCATCCGTCAGTGTGCTGGGCCTCGGTTTCCCCACGTAGGATGGTACTCACACCACGTGGTGAGATAACAAACACTCAAGTGTTTAGCACAGGACCTGGCATTTCCAAAGCCCTCAACAAATGATAACTGTTGGAGTGCTTTCTACTTTCTCATCACTCAGCCTAATTTCATTGCACTAGCTTCTACCACCACATTTTGTCAGGATAAAGTAAAAGAAAATGGGATGAGTTATTCAACCACTCAAACCAACTCTTCAGTGTAAAACAAGAGCATATTTAATGTTGCTACTTAGGATCGTTAAGAATCAACATACAATTTTAAAAATTAATTTAAGAAAAAAAAAGTACTGCAAGTTTTGAAGTGTAAGAAACAAATACTGGAGTCCAGGCAGGAGAAATAGATGTACAGTTACGTAGAACATTCACGCAGAATACATTGCATGAATTCTAACAAAATGACCTCTTTTCACTTCTTCCCTCCCCCGCCCCCACCCCCACGAGGTGGGGTTCCTTCCCATAACCACTTTCAACACAAGAGCCCAAATCTTGTCCTTCTCTCCAGTTCAACGTGACTTTGTTCAACTTCAATTCTTTCCCTGAGCTGGGCCCTGGGAACCCTGAGGTGTGGCTCTGACTTCAAGCACTATCATCTAGCTGGGGAGACAGACACCGATTGGCCTAAGTTTCTGCCAGGTCCCATCACTGGGGAGGGTTTCCACATAGAGTCCCGTTCTCAGATGAGAGGGTGCCCAGAGGGAGTCCTTGAATTTGGCCCCAGCCAACAGACAGGGGACTCATCTACATGCGCAGTCGAAGGCAAAGTCATTAGACTGTGTCTCTCTGGACGTCCCTTCCTCCCCTGCTTCCAGTGTGGAATCATCTCCTCTTCCCTCACTTAGAGTCAGTTGCCCTTCCCGTTTTCAGATCCCTACCTCCGCCACCCACCATCCCACCAATCTCCCTTCAACAAGAAAGAAAGAAAAGCTTGAAAACAGCCCATTTTGTCATTAGAAATTTATTCCTGCTATGACAGTAAATGGGGCTTCCCTGGTGGCTCAGAAGATAAAGAATCTGCCTGCAGTGTGAGAAACACAGCTTAGACCCCTGGGTGGGAAGATTCCCTAGAGAAGGAAATGGCAGCCCACTCCAATATTCTTGCTTGGAGAATCCCATGGACGGAGGAGTCTGGCAGGCTACAGTCCATAAGGTTGCGCGGGGTTGGACACAGCTGAAACGACTTGGCATGCATGTAGTGCTCTTAGGCTTCTCCGGTAGCTCAGAAGGTAAAGAATCTGCCTGCAACACGGGAGACCCAGGTTGGATCCCTGGGTGGGAAGATCCTTTGGGAGAAGGGAACGGTACCCCACTCTAGTATTCTTGCCTGGAGAATTCCAGGGACAGAGGAGTCTGGCAGACTACAGTCCATGGGGTTGGAGAGAGTCGGACACGCCAGAGCAATACCTCCTACCCTAAAGACTGGCCCTGAAGGAAAACCTGCATGAGTTATTTAAGCCCATTTGCGATTGTCAGAGAAGAGGAGGAAGGTCAACAAGCATCTCAGGAGGAGATGTGCTGCCATCACTGGCCCTGCCTGGCCAGCTCTGAAGGCCTCCACTCCCAGGATGCCCAACATAGGAAGGTGGATCAAGTAGCTCTCATGTCACGGGAAACAGATAACACAGAGGCGAGGACAGGCCATGGGGCTGGAGAGCTGGAGCTGCTGGGTCCGGGCAGATGTGTCTGCCCCAGAGAAGTGAGGGAACCTCAGGCTCAAAGACCCAGACCCCGGGTCCAGCTGTCTTACTGGAGGTGGGTGAGAGAGGAGGAAAGAGAGAGAAGGCAGTGTGAAGATGAGCACACTTCTGATTTTGACACTGATTAGCGCTATAAAGAATTGACCACATAAGGAAACTAGAAAATTGGTTTGGTTACATCAGTGTAAGTCTAATCATAGTCATTTGTGCCAGCTGCCTTACCAGTGGTGTGTAATGTTGTGTTGCACTGTAACAGTGATGGACTTTAATAAACGTGGTTCAGAGTAGTTCTAGGTTTTATTTGATTAAGGAAGTAAATGCAACATATGGGTTCCAGGCTTCGCAATTTCTTAAGTAACATAGTCCTCTGTTTTCAGCTTTAATAGATGGTTAATACTGTTGCTTTTAAGCTATCAGGTAGAATGGGGGGGGGTGTTCCTATTAATTCAGTTTTTCCCCTGATAACTTTTTATTACAATTGCTATACAGTGTTCCTGTTACCTGTCCTTGGAATTTGTGATTTTTTTCCACTCAGATGTTTCATACTCCTGAAATAATAGAAGCTATAAATTCCCTTTTTTCCTTTAAACACATATCATTCATGTAGACACGGCCCCAATTATTCTGATTAGACCCTCAAATTCATGAATTATGTTGCCATGCTAGCTCAGTTTAGAGCTCAAACAACAAATCTGCTAAATCACCATTATGGAGAACTTTGAGCCTGCTCTTTCATCAGACCTACAATAAGCTAGGAAGCAGGCAAAATGCAGCAGTCTCTGAAATGAAAGTAAGACTTCCTCACATCCGTTCCAAGTTCCGCGGTTATCACTTAGAGCAGTCTGATTCTTTACCTGATAAGTGTTCCTTCAGTCTGTTTCAGTGAATGACAGAATACTTACTGTATAATTGAAATTCTTTGGGTCAAAGGCAATACCATAAGAAATAGTTTTTTTCAATAATTACAGAGACATAAAATGATAGTCGTTTAAAAATCATTAGGCAGTGTTATAGTAGCCTTATGTCATTTAACTGTATTTTATACATACAACTCTGAACAACAAATGAGTGGAAAATTAATTGCAAGGATCAGTTTACAGTGATTTTTAAATTGGTTACCTAATAAAATCTAACAGGCGAGTGTGATTTCAACAAAATTACTACTTCAGGTGAAAATGCTAACACTATGAACATATGTCAGAGCCCTGTGAGGTCATTGCAGTCACACATCAGTTTGTGAGTAGGGAGGAAAAGACTCCAAGTGTGAAAACTAATTATATACAAATGCTGTTCATTTGTTATTATTTAAATAAGCTGTGTCTTTAAATATGGTATTCTTTGGAAAACTCACTTCATTGTGGTTTTTGAATCAAAGATGAAATAGTCATTACAGTGTCCCAAGGAATCTTCTAATTGTACTGGGCAAAGAGTTCATTCGTAGAGTCCATATTATAAAAACATCCAGTGGCCAAGTCCCATCAACAACTGTATCCAGTAGTAAAAGCCAGTCAGGCCATGCCCAGAAAGAGCATCAGTCCTTTGCTGGCTTGCCTGCTCTCTCTGTCCCAGCCGGTCTTTGTGGTAAGTGAATGTGGGATGAAGTCTCTGGGGTTTAGAGGATCTTGCACTCGTTGATGGAGAAGAACCTCCTTCTGTTGCGTCTCCGGGCTTGGTTGACGGCAGTTCGGACGGCACATTCAAACACCTGCTGGACGCCCCGGTTGCTGAGGGCCGAGCACTCCAAGTAGCCTTTGGCTCTCACATCCTGGGCCAGTCTCTTCCCTTCGATGGCGTTGACGCAGGAGGCCCGATGGGGCCCCACCTCCCGCTGGTCCGTCTGGGTGGCCACCACCAGCACGGGGGTGCACGGCAGGTTGCTCCTGACTTCCCCGATCCACTTGTTCTTCAGGTTCAGGAAGGAGTTGTGGTTGGCCACGGAGTAGCACATCAACACCACGTCCGCCTGCTGGTAGGACAGGGGGCGGATGCTCCTGAAGGCATCGTTGCCGGCGGTGTCCCAGAGGCCCAGGCTGATTTGGATCCCGTCCATGAAAACGTCTACACCTGTATTTTCATATACTGTAGGCTTATAAGCTTCAGGGAAGGTTTCCGAGGTGAAACGTACCAGCAGAGACGTTTTCCCCACAGCAGAGTCTCCCACCAGCACACACTTGATGGAGCTCAGCATCTTCGCGGCCCAGACTCCTAGTTACAAGTTCAGAATCCTGAGGAAGAGAGCCCTCAGTGGGCTACTGAGACAAACGCCATTCGACACGGGGAAGGACGGCCAGACGGCTTTGTGTTCTCAGGACCTCTGACAGCCACTTGCAGGATGTTACTTCTTCCAGTCCATCCAAGGGAGACACACAGTCTACTTTGAAAGTATCCAAAGGCTGGTGTTCAGCTGGAACAAGGAAGAGAAGTGGAGAAATTGAGTCTTTTTTCCCTTTTTTGATGACAGGGATCTTCCTCATTGGCAAACGGATCAACGAAGGGTCCCATCTCTGTGGAGCCGCCCGACCCCGCTTGTCTAAGCCACTCTTACCCCAGCAGCAAAAGCTTGAATCTGTTATACCCCAGCATTGGAACCCACAACTCCACCCAGTCAAGAAGCAGAAGCTGATTTGATCTCTAAAATCAGCCCAGCGATAAAAATACAAGCAGCTGCTCTGGCGGCAACATGAAAAAGACCTCAGTAGCAACCTGGTGTGAATGAGACTTGTTCGAACAGCTCTCTCTGGCCTTCTGCTCCAAGAAGTGGGGACCACAGCTGACAGAGGTCTCCGCCGCTTCAGTTTCTAATGGATCCCAGCCACTTTGGAAACTGCAAAAGAGAGCAATGTGATGAGCCTCAGATTCTATGAGCACTTCCTTTCATTTATTGACTCATCAGCTAGTGTTTGGTTTATGAGGGAATTTGTACTGAGGTCAGAGAGAAGAAATCACCAAAACTTTAAAAATTTGCTGTGGTTTTTCCCTTGAGGTGTTTCCAAAAACTTGCTACAAATGTAATGGAAAGGGCACTGTCCTTGGCATTTTCTGCATCTCAAGTCAGACTCCATTACCTATGCAACAACACGGCTTTGCTTAATCTGTAGCCCCAGTTTAGTCATCTGCAAGATTGTGATAAATTTAGGAACCACTTCTCAGAGATTTTGTGGGGATAAAATTGTTTCTCTCTTTTCTGAACATCTACCTATATATCAGGAACTCTGCTAGGCTTCTGGTTAAACAAAATAACGTGCTTAAAAGCAGCTGTATTCTGTGCCTGTCACTTAAACAAGGAGCATAAATATGACGGCATCTCAGTTTCATGAAAGGGTGAAATAAATTCTCATTCGCTGCAGGTGAAAGAGCTCCAGACGATGAGATCAGCCTGGAGACAGTATCCTGTCTACTGAAGGACAGCATCACAAGGCCAGCCCGGCTTCAGACAAGGGAAAGGTCTTTTGAACCAAACTTCAAAGTAAAGGTTATTAATACAATCTGGGCTTATAACCTCCTCCACTGGCAATCTTCCTGACAGGTCACATGTAAAGTAATGTAAAACAGATCTATAGGATATGTCTGCTTCAAAACACAATTTTTAAAAATCACTCCTCTAAATTCAGACATTCCCCTCCAAGACATTTTTATCCTTGTCCATCTACAGTCTCTGTTTAATAAGACATAATAACCTTTACTGTTTTCCCTGGTAGCTCAACTGGTAAAGAATCTGCCAACAATGCAGGAGACCCCGGTTTGACTCCTGGGTCGGGAAGATCCCCTGGAGAAGGGAAGGGCTACCCACGCCAGTATTCCTGGGCTTCCCTGGTGGCTCAAGAGTCCACCTGCAATGTGAGAGATCTGGGTTCAATCCCTGAGTTGGGAAGATGCCCTGGAGGAGGGCATGGCAACCCACTCCAGTATTCTTGCCTGGAGAGTCCCCATGGACAGAGGAGCCTGGGGGGCTACAGTCCATGGGGTCACAGAGAGTCACACATGACTGAACGACTCACCATAGCCCAGCAGCCTTTACAAATGAGTTGATCACATAAATAATTCACATGATTTTCATATATTCATTTTTACCACACATAAACTGGGTAAACTTTGCCAAGTTACTTAACCTCTCTGAGCCTTGGTTTCTTCATAAAGATGAAAATAAGAAAGGCAATTTCTTGATGGAATTATTGTAACAATTCAGTATATGGAGAGTCTGGCTTAGCACAGAATGTGGCACATGGAATCTACGGGCAGGCACCATATTTTTCAACTTCTACTACTGTTTATTTAAAATGCCAAATATTGAATGTCCAAGTGTAGGGGATGTGGGATGTCACATATTCACCCAGACTTTGTCTGAAAACTCCACATCGGGGCATTCTCATACGCCACGGTCCTGGACACCTCTTTGTCACCAGACCTTTGAGTAAGGCCCCCTTAGGCGCTCCTTGGGTCTCAGACTTCAGCTCCTTAAACCTATGGATGATTTAAATGAAGCAACTGTGACCTCCTCATTACTGAGTCCAGTGTCAAGACAAGTTTCAAGTTTGATGTCGACCCCAATGTGGTAGGACCAGGACCAAGAAAAATATGCATGTGTCAGGTGTTTGGTTATTAAATAATTCCTAAGAGATTGAATAGTCAAATTTCCTGAGTATATATCTACAAAAGGAAGTTGGTGAGGCAAAATTGTTAAGAATGCAGGCTCTAAAATCAGGTAGGTATGGAATTGAATCTGAACTGACCCACCGGTGCCGTGAACTTAGAAGAGTTTTTTAACCTCCCTAAGCCTCAATTTCCCTCCTTGTAAAATGTGATGTGATAATACCTACTAATACTGAGTTGTTGAGAGTATTAAATGTGCTTAAATATATAAAATCCTTAGCATAGTATATCATGTAAACATACTGCAAGTACATAGTCACCACATAGAAAACACAATAAACAGTCCTTATTACTAAAATTATTATTAAACAGTAATTGCTAAATATAATAATCAGTTCAGTTCAGTAGCTTAATCATGCCCAACTCCGAGACCCCATGGACTGCAGCACATCAGGCTTCCCTGTTCATCACCAACTCCCGGAGTTTGCTCAAACTCATATCCATCGAGTCAGTAATGCCATCCAACCGTCTCATAAAATATAATAAGAAGAAATTTTATATTATCAGTGGGGAATTAATTCAAAGTAGCACTAAAAAGGTTTCTGTGGCAAAGGGTGCTCTGAGTCTTACAGCCAGCTGTGACTACAATACATATATACTCTTCTTGTAGCACATTGGAAAAGACCCTGATGCTGGGAAAGATTGAAGGCAGGAGGAGAAGGGGACGACAGAGGATGAGATGGTGCGATGGCATCACCAACTCAATGGACATGAGTTTGAACAAGCTCCAGGACTTAGTGATGGACAGGGAAGCCTCGCGTGCTGCAGTACATGGAGTTGCAAAGAGTTAAACACGACTGAGCGACTAAACTGAACTGAGCATAAAAATGAAATATGATATGAACAAGGAAATGTGTGCCTCAGCTTTGCGACTCAGAGAGCTCCAAAGACAGACTGGAGAAAAAAAGCTCTGTTCAGTCAAGTGACCTTTATTCCCAGGCAGTTCTAGTACTAAAAGGCACATCAAACCAGCTCTTAGGGCCTCAGTTTCCCAAACCATGAAGTGATTGGACAAGATTAGCTCTCTCTAGGGAAATGGAAACTGAGGTCAAAGGAGAAAACTTTATAGCCTGCAACATGTATACAATTGCATAACTCTCCACGCTATTCCAGAGCAGCACTGTAGCAGCAAAGATAGATGACAAAACTTGCTGACATGTGTAGCCTTTGGCAGATGGCTAAATATGGATCTAGGAGAGGAGTAGTGGGAGGAGTTATGGTCTAAACTGGAGCAACACCCTATACAGACGTGATAGATCACCTTCAGATGATGCCCACAACGTGCCCATAACGGAGCCACTACAGGTCACGACATAATGTGTGGAAGTTTGACTGGCTTGATTTCAGTGGAATTTCACCTGAAGAGAAATATTCTCCCCAAAGGAGCTCTGGGTGAAACATAGAAGCAGGTTTTCAATGATATTTCACTAGTGGCTAATTGGCAGGGGTGCTCCAATTATATGTCAATCATTACAGAGGAGTTACCAAAAGTGACTTCAGATAGCATCATGGGTGACCCTTCTAGGACTTAAGTCAGATTGGAATTAATGAACCTTCAAGTCCAGAGCCTTTCGGGTCTCAATAACCTCCCTCTCTCCTCTCTCCACCATTTCACAGAAAAGATGCCCTCCCCAGAGCCCCCTGGTTCACACACAGAGATAGGAAAAGGGCAGGGAGGCTTCATCTTGCAAAGGCAATAGCGTCTATCATAGCAAAGGCAGAGAGACAGACAAAAGGGAGGCCTTGGAGATGAAGCGTCCTAATCCATTCCATCTTCTGGAGGGCTGTCTAGTAGGAAACCCTCGTTTCACTTTAGCCTCAGGTCTCACCCCAACTCCCACTCTCCACTATCACTCTTTCTTCAGACACATTCTCCGATACTCTGTTTTCCAGGGAAGACTCACTCCTCCAACTTCTACCTCTTCTTGAAAAATCTTCTTTGATCACCTGACAAGCTGTTAGATCAGATATCCCCTCTGTGTCGCCATAATAGCCCCCGTGCCTCCATCATCACACTGCTCACATGGCTGGTCCTCCTGCACATCTCCCTCACATGAAAAACTGGAATGAGAGCTTTCTCACAGGGAGTTCATAAGGACCAGATGGAAATGATAGCAACACAGCAATAATTGATGCTTGTACTCTGATAAGACTTTCTACCTCCAAGAATACCTCTTGATTGTCTTACGAGAAGTTTCCTTCACAATGATAGAGCATAAAAAATAATAGTCTAAAAAAGAAAAACAATAGTAGACAATATAAACTATTGCTTAGAAAAGCAAAATAAAACTAAGATGAAATTATGATTCGTTGAACTAATAATTGTTACTGCACATTTTAGGTTATCTGGGCTTTGATTGAGGTGGCTTACTTCAAAATGCTGATATGCTCAGTCGCTCAGTCATGTCCAGATCTTTGTGACCCAGTAACCTGCCAGGCTCCTCTGTCCATGGGAATTCTCCAGGCAGAAATACTGGAGTGGGTTGCCATGCCCTCCTCCAGGGGATCTTCCCAACCCAGGGATTGAACCCAGGTCTC